CATCATCTGTAAAATGGAGATAGCCCCCTAAGCATGTTGAGAAAAATAAAGAAAATGTTCATAAAGCATAGTGGCTTCTCCTAATGTAAGGAAAAAGGATTTTAAGAATTCAAAGGGAAAGAAATCACTTCGCTCTCAAAGCAACCTTTCCTGGGTATTGAAGCATTTGAATCAGGGTGGACTTGACAGAGGGGAAATGGAAAGATAGGAGACAGTAGAAATAGGTCATTGGGGACCACTGTATGAAGTTGAGAGTTGAAAGCTGTAAGATAGTCACAATGGGTTCCTATTATATGCCAGAAACTTGTAACTGTATACTCAAACCAGTGTTACCCTTTAAGGGATTGAAACACCAAATTTCTGTGGCAGAAAACTAGTGGGCTAATGCACAGGACTGCCAGATCCATTTGGACTGCAAGGTTAGCAGTTCAAGCTCACCAGCCACTCCTCAGAAACCCTGTACAGGGTCGCTATGTGTGGGAACCAACTCTACCACCACCACCACCAATCTCTGTAATGTATTGAAAGAAACTGAATACAGGATGTTTACAGTTTCCTGACAAATGCAGGATATAAGAGAATGTCATTCAACAAAGAACATGTCCAATATATGCAGGTCACCTTGCAACTCTATCACCATCTCTCTTAACCCTGCATGTTGTTGTTGTTGTTAAGTGCCGTCGAGTCGGTTCTGACCCATAGCGACCATGAACAGGGTTTCTGAGGCTGTAAATCTTTACGGGAGCAGAAAGCCTCATCTTTCTCCCAGGGAGCAGCTGCTAGTTTCGAACTGCTGACCTTGAGATTTGCAGCTGGATTCGTAACCACTACACTACCAGAGCTCCTTAACCCTCCATAGTTGATATTTATTATTTCCATTGTTCACTTGTCCATAATCAGTGCTCCTGGAAGCAAATCAAGGAATCAAATGATGCATTATTATATTTTAAGATTTAAAGCAGCAACAAATATGTCACCATGAGGACTAATGAGTGCATGACCCAAGCCATGGTATTTCAATTGCCTCATGTACAAGTTGAAAGCTGGACAATAGTAAGAATGGAGAATTGATGTGTTTTTATTATGGTGTTGGTGAAGATGTCTACTAAACATACCCTGGACTGCCACAGATCTGTGGTGGAAGTACACCCAGCAGGCTCCTCGGCAGTGAGGAAGGCAAGACTTTATTTTATATACTTTGTACATGTTGTCAGGAGAACCGAACCCTTGAAAATAGACATCATGTTTGTAGACATACACAAGAGGAAGACCCTCAAAGAGACAAGTGACATAGTGACTGTAACAACAGGTTCACACATAACAAGGCTGTGAGGACCTGATTCTGGGAGACCACGCAATGTTTCATTCTGCTGTGCACCGGGTCACTATGAGTCGGAACCGATTGGATGGCATCTGGCACTGCTCCGCCAAGGGAACATACTCAGAGATGCCAAGTGACTTGCTCAAAAACACAGCAGAAAATTTAGAACTAAGCCAACTTCTAACATTTGGCTCTGAAGCCTGGAAGCTACATTACGCAACACATTCTTTCCGATAATGGCCACTTACCACATTCTTTTCTACAATGAACATTACGCATACCTGACCTTGGGCCAATTTCTTTAGGTGCATGTTTGTTTCTTTTAAAAACCTGTTAAAGAAATGTAGATATTGTTAGTGATACCTGATTCCTGGCTCCTAGGAGTCGGAACAACAAAACAGTGTTTATGAAGCTACAAGGGATCTTCAAAGCACATTTAACAGTATGGCATGTCAGTGGAGAATCTTGCTTCCAAATCTTGCTTCCAAATGTTTTACTGTTTTGCTCATTTCCTCAAAGTGAAAGTGAAATCTTTACCACTTTTCCGTTAGATGTTCACTTTAACCATTCTGCCCTAAACTTGTTTTAACCAGGAATTTGAACCGTTTTCACCCCTGAGAATGTACATTTCTTCTAATTGGGACGTACTGAACCAGATTCTTAATGTAAGCTGCTTCTCGCTTCGCTCTGCATTGCGCATGCGTGTTGCCACATGCGCATGCGCCAGTGGACACACGCATGCGCATATGTACATAAACGCGGAAATTTTTTTTTTTTTTTGCCCTGTCCCTGACAGTACGAACCTATATAGTACATGACTTGTCTAAATATTAAAATTATTCTAAAAGGGATGGTACTAAAGTTCATCTATTATGAAGTAATCTGCCAAAAGAAGTAACGTAACATTTTTTTTTCTATACAATAATGAGCTCTTTGGAATTTTCTCATACACTTTAAAAATTATTTTACTAATTAAACACTATTTTAATCTATTATTAAGTCCTCAAAAGACCTTTTTTTAAAACTTATATTTGGTTTGGTGAGTTTACACAGTAAATAGCTTCCCACATAACAATCTCACTACATATTATCCAGTGACATTGGTTACAATTTTCACAATGTCTCAGTGTTCTCATTTCCATTCTAGTTGTTCAATTTCTTATTAATCTAGCTTCCCTTCCCTGACTTTGCTCTGTGAGTATGTGTGTGAATTGTTGTTGTTGTTAAGTACCATGGAGTCAGTTCCGATTCATAGTGACCCTACAAAAGGGTTTCCGAGGCTGTTAATCTTTACGAGAGCAGACCGCCTCATCTTTCTCCCGCGGAACCACTGGTAGTTTTGAACTGTCAACCTTGAGATTAGCAGCCCTATTCGTAATCACCACGCTACCAGAGCCCCTTTGTGTGTGAATAGAGGACGTTTAATATTTTGTGCTGGTCAAATAGAACACAGGTGGGGAATACCTGGGGATGGGGGTGGCAGGTGCCCTGCCTCTCAGGAGGGGTGACTTGTGACTGGGCTTCTTGGAAACTATCCAAGGTGCCTTCTCAGCAAAGGAGTCTGGCCTGGGATGTGGTGGGTAGGAGCCCTCCCAGTAGAGGGTCTCACTTTGTTTCCAGCTGCAATGCTGTAATTCACACTTCCAGCGTGATGGGGGTACTTGGTCCACGCGAGGGAAGCAGCCCAGGGTCTTATCCTTGCTGCAGAGTACATGTTGACCATTTGGTCACGTATAGGTGTTTTTTTGTGCTCAGTATTCATAGGTTCGAGTCTGGAATCGACTCAACGGCATATTTTTTTATGAGCCAATCTTTTAGTTGAAGGGTGACTCGAAGGCGTGTGACTTCAGTACTAAGTTTAAAGGGTATCTCCATCTGATAGTCACAGGTCCAGTAAGGTTGTCCTTTATTAAGAATTTTAGTTTGTCCATTTTTTTTTTTTACCATTGTGGCGCTTTGGCTTAATGCATTGGACTGCAAAGTCAGTTTGAACTTCAAGGTCAGGAGTTCAAGCTCACCAGCCACTCCTAGTAAACCCTATACGGGCTCGCTATGGGTCAGAACTGACTTGGCCACTAAAAAACAAACTCAATTCTAAGAATACTATGATTCTTTAAAAATATTTCCTTCACGTACGCCACGTTATTAAGTGCTGTCAAGTGGGTTCTGACTCAGGGAATTCTGATATAAGGTTTCCTATGGCGCAACTGGTGGGTTTGAACTGCTAACCTTTAGGCTAGCAGTCTAGTGCTTATCAACTACAATGCTAGACCGTGCTTCCTCATATATGTCATTATTAAGTGCCATAGGGCCGGTTCTGACTCATAGCGACCCTGCATAGGGTTTCCGAGGAGAGTCTGGTGAGTTTGAACCACCGACCTTGTGGTTCAAACTGATCTTGCGGTCTAGTGCTTTATCCCACAGCACCACACCAGGACTCCCATATTGTTAAGTGCCATCCATAGTAGGTTCCAACCCATAGCGACCCTGTATAGGGTTTCTGAGGAGCAACCTGTAAGCTTGAACAGCTAACCTTATGGCTCAAACGAATTTTGCAGTCCAACACATTAACCCACCAGGCCACACCAGGGCTCCCATGTGTTGGTGGTTATATGCGGTAGAGTCAGTTCTGACTCAGTGGGCAAACCTGCACAGGGTTTCCGAGGCTGTAAATCTTTACCGGAGCAGAAAGCCTTATCTTTCTACCACAGAACAGCTGGTAGTTCCAAACTGCTGACCTTGAAGTTAGCAGCCTGACTCTTAACCAGTATGCTATCAGAGCCCCTTAGGGCTTCTATATACTGACATATTATTGTATTATTGTATATTAATATCTATGCATCATTATTGTCTGTATTTTAATTTAAAAAACTGTTGTCAAGTTGGTTCTGACCCTATTGAGCTTAAACTGCCGACCTTGTGGTTCAAACCGACTTTGGAGTTCAGCGCATTACCCCACAGCACACCACACCAGGACTCCAATGTAAAAACATAGTGTGGTGTGTGTATGTGTAGTGGGGAGATCTTATTGTAGAGGCAGGGACAATGTGCCTTCCAGTTGATTCTGACTCATAGTGACCTATATAGGGTTTCTGAGAAGTGTCTGGTGAATTTGAACCACCAAACTTGTGGTCCAGTGATTACCCTACTGTGCTACACCAGGTGGTTTTGTTGTTGTTATTAAGTGCTGTGGAGTCCGTTCCTACGGACCCTGTATAGGGTTTCTGATTGCAGTTGAGTGCTTATCCTACTGAACCACACCAGGACTCCAAAACACTGGTAGGCTCAAGTATACATGGAAATGTAAATATTCACAGCATGAAAATATTTCAGGATGTTATAAAACAAACTTGTGAACTAAATTTTACTAGTTCTAATTCGAAAACCCCCAGGAAAACTAGACGGCGATAAGAAGTAATGATTTCAGCCAACTCGAATTTTTGATTCGTGAAATCAATACTAATTTATTTTATTGCAGTAACAGTTGTTACTGTGTGATTCACATACATATAGATTATTTAAATTCATACAGAACAACATTTATAATTTTAAGTTATGCTTTGGAAATGAGAAGAAGTACAGTTTGAGATTTAAAGCATAGAGAAGGCGACACAGGAAGAGAGTTAATAGTAAAAGTATGAGTGTCTGCTCTAGATGTAACACATAGATTTTTTTTTTTTTTTTTTCAGAAAGCTAATTCTTAAACTGGTTGTCCAAATCATCAAAGTAAGGATGATTCAATGCCATTTTGCCAGAAATTCGTTTGGCAGGGTCATAGAGTAACATTTTCTAAGGGAATAAAAAAAAAAAAAAAAAAGTTAAGTTGTTTTATTTATTTAGAAAATTAACCAGTTAAACACATCTCCATAAACTCTTGAACTTATCTACCAATAAGCATTAAGCTAATGATTTAAGTTAAAATCTACTGATTGGACATTTCTATTTGTTCAATACTAATAAACTACATTGTATTTTACTCTCAAGTTTTAAATCTGCTCCTTAAATCAGACACCTCAATGACTTCTTTTTGTTACAAATTATACTAAAACAAAAACAATTAGAGAGAGCTTTAAAACCAAGACATAAATTTAGGAAACATATCTGGTTGATTCTATTTTGAGAGTTAAATGGCTATCTGAGTCATTTATAAGATTCTATAGCAGTTTCTGATGTAGCTTCCTGCAAGTTAAAAAATAACAAAAAAGGCTGAGACACAATGTGTTATAAATACAGCTAAAATTGAGTCACTAAATGACTTATTGTTACAGAGACCTCCTATAAAACTTAACAGCCCCAGCAACAGAGAATTATCTACCCCAAAAGTCAATATGAACTAGATTAAGTCCTTGATTTCTGTTTTGTTAATTGAAGTGAAGGTCTTTGTGCTCAAGAATTATAGAAGTTATAAAAGTAGACAGAGTACAGAATATGAAAAGTATCTTTGAAATAAATTAGTACTGTTAATCTAATACAATCTTCCTTAAGCTAAGCTAGGCCAATCTTTTATATTACAACAGTTTTGGGTTGTGTTTTTAAAGTAAACAGTTAGTTGGGAAGATAATCTAATAGAAAGGAAGACAAAAGCATTAACAATGGTAACATCAGTATAAAGAACACTCCTTACCGAGAGCAAATCCAAGCCATTTTCATCCAGATTTTTGACATGGGATGAGAGGCTCCCTGGTTTCCACTTAGGAAATGTATTCTTATAGTCCTGGAGGGATTCCACTTCAGGCCACACATCATTATTGGGGGTGCCCAAAGCTCTAAGAACCACAGCAAAGCAAAAGATGATTAGAGCATAGATATAAACTCATTATATGCATATTGCCATTATTATTTATTGCTCCATTTATAGATATATATTTTTTAAGACCTTAGATATAAAGCAAAAGTACCTGAAAATTCTGAAGAGCTGATCAATTTCTGAATCCCCATGGAAAAGTGGTTTCTTAGTTGCCAATTCAGCAAATATGGTGCCAATACTCCAAATGTCAACTGGAGTCGAGTAGCGAGCTGAGCCCAGCAGCACTTCAGGAGATCTATACCACAGAGTTACTACCTGTCACAAAACACATTTTTACATTGAATAAATATGATGCGTTAAATTAGTTAGATCCCTGTGAGATTGGACCCGACTCAATGGCACGTAACAACAACAAGCATTGTTTAAACCAATGGGAACCAAGTAATCTTTATTTAGAGCCATAGAAGGGACGATAAGAAGGAATGAATAATAAAAAAAAAAAAAGCCAAGACCTCTAACCAGATGAGTGCAATGTTGTTTTCACTCTGGGTACGTTCTTTGGAAGACATTTTTCCAATCATCTTTTACTTTTCCATCCAACTTTCCCTTTCCTCTAGAAATATCGAGCCATCAATAATACTGATGAAACATGTTTTTTTCGCTAATAAAGAACAATAATGTATATGAAATAGTATCCCTTGAGCAACTAATTTGCAGCAGAGAAAGCTTCATTGATTATTTCTCTTTTGATTTAAAGAACCACCACAGAAAATAATCCAGTATCAACGTTACTCCAAAGCATCAAAACAAAATTCCTACTTACCTCATGGGTGTATACTCTGATAGGTATTCCAAAAGCTCTAGCAAGCCCAAAATCAGCCAGTTTAATTGTCCCTTTGTCATCAATCAACAGGTTTTGTGGCTTTAAATCACGGTGAAGAACTCTTCGGGAGTGACAAAACACAATCCCTTGCAGGACTTGGTACAAGTAACTCTGGAAAAACAAAACACAAATTAGAAACTTAAGGATCATATACCATATCCTAACTAATCTTAGCGGGTTCCCCAGTAATAAACGGGTTACCAAAACCAAATCTATTGCCACTGAGTCAATTCTGACTCTTAGTAACCCTACAGGTCAGAGAAGACCATCCCCATAGGCTTCCCAAGGCTGTTTAGTCTTCACAGAAGCAGACCCAGACTGGCACATCTTTCTCCCAGAGCAGTTGTTGGGCTTAAGCCGCCGAACAGCTAAGTGCTTATGGGTAACTGCTATTAACATCATCTCTAGGCTAGGCTACCTGCCTGGGAGGAAAGTGAACTAGTCATTAATTTCTCATTCTACTTTCTAACGTATATTCTCACAAAACACAGGCTATACTTAGCTGACCCTTTACATTCACAAGGGCCTGATGGTAGTACGCCCGCACGTCGTGTTCAACTCACAGAGATCCTGTAGAGGGTCTCCAAGGCTGTAAATCTTTATAGAAACAGAAAGCCTCATCTTTCTCCTGTAGATTGGAACTGCTGACCTTGTGGTTAGCAGCCCCAGGCATAACCTCTCTGCTACCAGGGCCACCTATTAGATAAACTTCTTACCTTAACCAGTGAAGGTTCCATGAATTGACCAGGAGGGATAGAATCCAAGTACTTCTTGAGATCCATGGAAAGGAACTCAAAGATCAGATATAATCTGGAATCCTGCATAAGCACATCCTGAAGACTGAAGAACAAAACAATTATATGGGGGGAAAATCACGCAAATATATTTAGCCTCTTTTCCACAAAATAAATCATTTCCCGTGACTCACAATGGTTATCTTATGCAAAGTAGTGCTGTAAGAAACTATCAAAAACAAACACGTCGTCTGAGGAAAACTTCACTCACAAAAAGAGAGCTTCAAAAAAATTGTGCAGATTCCCTTTTCTTTTAATTCCATTTTTTCATGTACTTTTTAGAGCCCCTTTATAGATAAATACCTTAGTATAAAATTAGAGTTTGAGACTTTCAGGACAGGAATTTAAAATCAAATCTCATTATAAATGAGATGCTCACCTTTAAACTGTATTATTGCTCAGCTTGTCTTTCACTTGAAATGAACTATATGAATAAAACTTAAAGCAGTATCTGACCTTAACAGCTGTTCTCCATTTCCATCCACAGCAAAATGCAATTAAATTCTAACTAACTTGGCTTAAGAGTTAGTTACAGTCCCAAGACTGTAAATCTTTAGGAAAGCCAACTGCAGTAGAGCTTCATGTGTGTTCTAAAGAGAGGCTGGCGGATTTGGACTGCCATTACTGTGGTTAACAGCCCAACATTTCACCCACTGCACCACCAGAGTTCCTTGTTAGGAAGGTAATTCCCTCAAAACACCAATCCATGTAATTTGAAGGAAAAAGAAAAGCACTTCTTTTTCATCTCGCCTAGCTACGACCTGCCTTAGAACTGATTAAGGAGTGGTTAAGAGATTAGAGGTTCTAGAATGGCAGAGAATTAATGACAGGAGACTTTTCACTTTCCCCCAGGGCCATCACTCTCAACTAACAAATAATTGTTGTTGTTAAGTGCCCTTGAGTCAGTTCTGACTCATAGCGACCCCCATATAGGGTTTCTGAGGAGCGGCTGGTAAGTTTGAACCGCTGACATTGTGGTTCAAGCCAACCTATGGTCTAACGTATTAACCCACAGCACCACACAAGGATGCCAACAAATAATAACAGGATTCTAATTCCATTTAAGCCAAGCTGTACACATTATGCAAAAGTAAAAATTCCCACACTGACACTCCCATTTCAAATGGTGAAAAGGAAAATGTCTTAAATTCAGATAGTATGCCATACCTGACGATGTTTGGATGACGAAGTTCCTTCAACAGAGAAATTTCACGAATTGCAGTACTAGGAACCCCTTCCTCTTCACTTTCCAGTCTGATTTTCTTCATGGCCACAATTTGACCTGTAGTCTTGTGTCTTCCCTTATACACAACTCCATAGGTACCTGTAATCGATAAAGCAATTATCTGCTGTAATACTCCCACAAAACTAAAAAATATTTCTAAAAACTTTTTAGTCCAATAGGTGTCACATGATAGATTTAATCTATTCAGAATTACACTCTCACTGTTTCATACAAAAAGTTTAGGGTAACAACTCATCACAAGTATAGTTTAGATATTAAATTCATGTAGTCCAATGTTTCCCCCATACTTCACCTACTACATGGTAGGAAAACCTCCCACCCATACAAAGGTTATGAGAACACAGCTAAATGGCCTGATTCTGTTGGTATGGACTTCAGAGAATGAACAGCAATGTCAACATGAGGGATCTTATGGTAGGGGTGTGGCTATCAGAAATGGAAATAGCAGTAACAGTAATGAACAATTAGATAAAAAGAAAATAAAGAGATCTTCTGCAGCAAATTTGTCCAACTCAATACATCATTTAATTTCTCAACTGCTGCTGCATGAATAATATTATTGATCCAAGTAGAAGGAAATCATTGCCATCTTCTATTTTCCTCCACCTATCATGATGTTATCAGTCTAGCAGAGAATTTCCATTTTCATGTTCAGGCGTCATTCATTTTGACAAGCAAAGCTGTCACCTACATATTGAATGTTGTTAATGAGCATTCCTCCAATCCTGATGCCATGTTCTTCAGATACATATACTATAGCTTCCCAGATCATATTGTTTGGCAAATTCAATTAGGTGAAAGGATACAACCCTGTTAATTTTCCAGTTAGGAAAGTAGTGAAATTGATTCTAACCCATAGTGCGTAGGGTTTCCGAGGGGTAGCTCCAAGTCTAATGCTGATCCTACAGCACTACACATTAATATAGCATCATTAAATCAATTTAAAACGTCTTTTAAAAATTAAAGTCACTCACCTTCCCCAATTTTCTCTATTTTGGTATAGTCTTCCATTATTACTCAATTAGTATTGCAGAACCTAAAATGAGGAGGGGAGAAACGAATTTAATTATATCAGTAATTCAAAAGTTGATTTAAATTCAATTTATTAGAAACATTTTTAGTGTTTGTTGTTAAGTATCCTCTAGTAGGTTCTGACTCATAGAGTTTGCAAGGAAAGGCTGGTGGATGGTAGTCTTGTGCTTATCATACAGTGCCACACAAGGAGGACTCCTAGCAGTGTGTACTGCAGTTTATAATAATTGTTTCGTTATTTGTATTTATTATTATTATAAAGGTGTGCTCTTTTAAGTACCACATCTACATAGATCCAATTGATAACAGCAACTGGAAAGATGACATAGGAATCTTTGGGGGCAAAGAGTTAGTTATTGGGGGAGGAACTGCTCAGGAGAGTGGAAAAGTTGCACAACTCAAAAAAATTTTTTTAAAAGAGCCGATTAGCTGATCACCAGATTTGCTGGTCATCAACGATTGGCCCAAACGCAGCCATTGTGAGGATGGCGCCGGACAGGGCGGTGTTTTGTCCTGTTGTACATCTCGTGACACCGAACACGCGACATTCAAGTCTTTCTCTACTGGTAGGTTTGCCAAAGCAAGAGAACTTATAATTCCTTTGCTTTTTTACTAGCATGCCATCACTGATGATAAAATCACATAGGGTCAACAGAATAGCCAATCCTTGTAAGTTCTAGTTCTTGCATCTTCACAGGGGGGCGGGGCGAACAAACAACAGATAGCAGAGATTAAATCATTTACAATAAACAAAATTGCACAACATTAGGCAAGAGTACTTATCTTAAGAATTTCTACTTTGCTCAAGACGCCCCAAGATGGAAGAATACCTACTAATGTCTCCCAGTCCCAAGATCTCTAAAGGCCCTTGTGTTTGTTGTTGTTAAGTGCCGTTGAGTCGGTTCCGACTCGTAGCGACCCTGTAATAGGATTTCCAATGAGGAGCTGGTGGGTTTGAACCTCCAACCTTTAGGTTAGTAGTCCAGTGCTCATCCTACAGCACCACACCAGAGGTTCTTAGGAAATGCAAGAACATTACAGCACAAACACTGATTTAAGCCCTTGACAGTGGTATTAACATCACACATTTCTATCTCCCAACACATCAGTTTTCCACTTTCTGCGAACCGCATAGTACGTAACAACCATAAATATAAAACACGTTCTTAAATGCCATCTAGGGAGCTCAGGGTGGGGAAGGGCCACAGGGCGACGCAAGCCCTTTTAGGTGCAGAAGTTCATCGCCTGTTTCTCCGGAGCGCCCGGGTTAGGTGCTCTCTTCCTTCCCACCCCGGAGCCCCGCACTCCACAGGTGCTCAGCGCCGTCCAGCAAATTCAGATTTGCCTTCCACCCAGTTCGCACTCCAGCAAGGTGACCTCTTCCTGAGAGCAGCCGACCTGAGATTCCCCCTAAGTTAGACCCCGCTTCACTTTCACCACCAGGCCCGCAAGTCCTGAGCTCCAGGCCCTGCCCACCCTCCCCGGCCGGGACCACGCAGGTCCAGCTCGGCCTCCCAAACAGCATCTCATTACTCAGTACACTCCAGCCCGAAGACCCGAGCATGCTCCTGGGGAGGCGACGCCCCATCGGCAAGGCCCAGGCCCCTGCAACTCTACCCAACTTATCCCGCGGTAGTGGTGGCGGTGGCGGTAGTAGTGATGGTGACGGCGGCGGCGGCGGCGGCGGCGGCGGCGGCTACCACACCTGCGTCGCTCTTCTCCGAACTTCTCTACCCAGCTTCACAGCTAAGTGAGCGAAGTTTCAAACTCAGCGCGCTAAAAAGTCTCGAGTCCACCAATCAGGTTGCACGTAGACTTTCAAAGGAGCCAATCGGAGCCCAGTTACGCCTGACTTGCCTGAGCTTGCTCTCCGGGATAGCTAGAGCGCGAAAGAAAGAGGAAACGGCGGCTGGAGAAAAAGCAGGAGGGCGGGCGCAAACTGAGTCTGTACGCAAGCGCTCTCTCTCTCATTCCAGGGAGAGTCGTCCTCCTGTTTCTAGTCATCGCGAATCTACTGTTAGTTGTGGAATTTTCACTCTCTCTGTATTGGTACAATTTATATTTATTGAGCTCAAATAGAGTTATCACAAAAATAATAACTACACTTACATCAAAATTCTATTCCTTCCAATTCTAATATTAAGACTGATGGTGGTGGTGTGCTGTGAAGTCGGTTCCGACTCGTAGCGACCCTCTACAAGGGCTTCACAGGCTGTAAATCTTTAAGGGAGCAGAAAGCCCCATCTTTCTCCTAGAACAGGTGGTAGTTTTAAACTTGAGGTTAGCAGCTCGACTATAATCACTATGCTACCAGAGCTTCTTAATACTCAAGATTTACGTATATTTATATTGTTCGAAATGCGTGGTTCACAGGCTGAGCTTGTGTCTCCAGAAGAACATTTTCAGTTACAATCAGAAGAAAATAATGGAAAACTGAAAGACGTTCTCAACAGTCTGAAGAAATTACTACATTGTTATTTCTACATTGTGTTGTTGTTGTTTTGGTTATGAAGTGCC